CCCCCCCCCCCCCGCCCCAGGGACGCGCACAGCTCGAGAGACTCGGGCAGAGGGACCGGCTCTCCCGAGGATGTCTGAATCTGGCAGCCCCGGAAACGGAGACAGCCAGTACGGACGCTCCAGCTTGGGGGACTCTGAAAAGGGAGAGCTGGGCAAAGGGTCAGCCTCCTCCTGGGACCCTTCAGATCCCGACACAGGAGCAGAAAGTCCAGCAGGAACAGCGCAGCCAGGAGCCAGCAGCACTGCCGCTCCCAGGGAGCTCAGCCCCTAAAGCCCGAGAGGAACTCTGCTCACAGAGGAGCGGGCACCGCCACTCCTAGAGACAGGGCAGTCCCCGGGTGGCAGGCGGGGCCAGTCTGTGCAACAGGGAACAGGTACCCAGGAGGAGGGACGTTCGCCTGCAAAAACACGATCCACTGCTTAGAGCACTGGCAACACCCTGTTTCCAAGGACCCTCGTACTCCGGGAGCCCTTTTCCAAGCCAAAGGGACAGCGCCTCCCACTCCCAACCAACATACACAAAGGTAGGGCGAGAGATGGCCCGAGACACCCAGGGAGACTGGCCCGCAGAGCCAGCGCCAAAGAGAGGCGGTACCCTCGGCCCCTTAAAACTGCGCACCGAACCGGCCGGCGCGCGAGCGGAGCAGCCCTCCCGCTTCGCCTCCGCACTTCTACGGAGGTGGGGCTTGGGGCGGCACTCCGGCTGAGGCTAGGGCCCGGGGGCTCGGGACGCGTCTTGGAGCTGCATTTGCAGGGCCCGTCACCCTTTGTACTTAGGAGATAACGCGTGTGACGCGCGCAGGGGTGGGGGTGGGAGTCTTTCTGGATTGATAGAGGTTCTGTGGGCCACCTGCACACAGCCTGGCCGCCCACCCCCAGCAGGGAACCGGGGAAGGGACATCAGGCTGTGGGGGCTGCGGCGAGGGGTGTGTGTGTGTGTGTGTGTGTGTGTGTGTGTGTGTGTGTGTGTGTGTGTCTGTGTGTGTCTGTGTGGCAGCGCCTTTGTGTTTTGTCACCACCCCTCCCCTTTCCCCACCCCGAGTCTCTGGAGCGGGGATTTCGCAAGTCGATCGGCGGTGGCCGCAAGCAGGTGCGCACAGTGGGCGCTGCGACCACCAGCCCCGACCGCAGGCCAACAGGCAACCGCAGGCGGAGAGGCGGCTGCGGGGCTCGCGCGCTGTCTGCCTGCTGGCGTGTTTTAAGTGTTATTGATTCTCGCGCGTCTGGGTGGCTTTTCTTTGCCCTGCTTTAATCTTCAACTTGGCCCGCGCCCCGCCACCCCGCGCGCACCCAGCATCCAGGAAGCCGGTTGGGCTGATTGGCCCTGGCCGCGTGCGGCTTTATCTTCTTTTTTAATTAGAAACGGGGCGGAGGGACCGGGGAAAGGAGAGAGAAAGGGAAAACAACATAAAATAACCTCCCCTGGCTGTCGCGTCCGCTCGACCTCCCGCCGGCGCCGAGACCTCCCTGGCCCCGCAGGGGCCCAGCTGCCGCCTAGGGAGCTGGGGAGACACGGAGGGCGCCGGCCTTCCGCCCCGCGGCCGCCCTTTGGGGCGGGGTGAGGTCCAAGTCGGGAGGAGGAGTTGCAGGGTCATTTGGGGCCAGGCCCTGCTGCCCCCTAGACCTCTGTTATCCATCTGTAAAATGGGCACCACGGGTAAAAAGTCCCAAAGTCCTTAAGAGGCTTTCCAGGTCCCCAGATGTAAAGGGCTTCTCTCTGTTCAGAACTGATGCGTGCTTTTCTCAAGACTGTGTCGGTTTTTTCTTTTAGGGAATTATGTCTCCAAGAGGCTTTGTTTAAATAAAAATACTTCTGAATGAGTTTTTTTAAATTCCTATTTTGTTTAGATAGTCAAGTAACTCAAAGACTAGCCCCTTGTAACAGATCCAACAAGAGTAGCCTCGGCAGCAAACTTCACTGAGCACTTGCTGTGTGCCTGGCACATTCTGAGCACTTTCCATGTTTTAGCACATTTCACTTGCACATCAACTCTACCGAGGTAAGGACTTGCTATCATTATCCTCATTTCATTCATGGAAAAACAAAGTACAGAGAGGGGGTATAACTTGCCCAAGGTCACACAGCTAGGAGGTGAAGAAGCTTCAATGGAACCTTAGGCCTGACCTCTTAGCCACTAGACTATCTAGCATTCCTAGGCACTTTTGACCCAAATATATCATTATCTTCTCTACTGGTGTAGGAATTCCCTGGTGGTCAGCTAGGTGTTCAGAGGTTCTTCCTGACTTATTACCAAAAAGTCTCCACTTGACATAACATGCTGATTTCTCAAACATTTCAAACATCCTAGCTCTGTGTTAGACTCTCTTTTACTGCCTGAGAGGAATGAATGAGAGCTCCAGCCAGGCTTTTTCAGACTCCTCACTTGCTAGCCTTTCAAGCTCAGTCTCTGTGAGCCTCAGTTTTAAGGCATGTGAAATGGATATGGTGCTTCCTGCCCAACAGAGCTGGTGAGAAAGGTCACACGGGCTAATGGTTGTGCCATACTGCCTTGGCATAGTAGGGATGGAGGGAAAGCTCAGTGGTGTATTCATCACATATGCAGGATGGGAGGGGCACCTGCTGTGTAATAGGTACTCACCCTGAGCACATTTTTGAAGCTCCACTCCAAACTCATTCATTCCGTGGACATTTAGTGATCCTGCAGACAGCCTCCTTGCCCTCAAAAAGCTCACAGTCTAGTGAGAAGGACAGAAGACGAACAAGTGAGCACATGAATTGAAAATAAACACATACATTAAACATTAAAGGCTTCAAAAGACCATGGCCAATCAAGAGAACCCAGTAAACAAAACAGAGATTGTACTGGAAACTTATGAGTGGTGGGATGCAGAGGCAGGTTCCCTTAGCTGGGAAGGTCAGGGAGATGACCTTGAGGTCACATGAATGATGAAGGACAAATGATGCTAAGAAGCCAAGCATGTGAAGCTCAAGGAATGAGAACTTTCAGGCAGAGGGAGCAGCATGTGCAAAGGGCTTATGGTAGGAAGAGGGCTCGTGTGGTCAGTAGGAAGAGGCAAGAGTGGCCAGTTATACACTTGGAGAGGAGTGGGGTCCCCTCATCTCCCATGCCTTTGGTACAGGGGAGCCTCACTTTAAGAAATCCCAATTCCAGAACAACTTCCCTTCGCTAAGCCCCAGGATGCGGAGCATGAAGCACTTATCCCAGGACTGGCTGCGGCCCTCAATAAATGGAAGCTTTGATTATTATAACCAGAGTGAGACATCAGGGGTGAGGTGTCCTCTTTAAAAGCCAGACAAGTGGGCCATCTTTGTGTAAAGGGAGGGATACCTGCCTCATCAGGATTATCCCTGGAGCCTGTTTGGAGCTATCTAGATATTAGGAAATGGCTCCGCCCTCAGGCCAGATACCCAGGAGTCACACTGACGCCTCTCTTTCCCTTTACCCTTCCCCATCCCTCCCCTCTGCTCTGCCCTGTCCATCAGCCCCTCAGCAAGTCTGTCAGCTCCATCTGCGGCCAACCTCACCACTGCCACTGAGGCCCAGCCACCACCACCTCTTGCCGGTCCCTCTCCCTGGCACCCACAGTCCTTTCCCCCATGGGACTGGCAGGATGAAATCACAACCCCCCAGTGCTTCCTGATGTCATCCTGCGAAAATCCCAGCCCTCAGCCAGATCCTCTCCCCAAACTCTCCCCTCTCTGAGGTTCTGCAGCAGCTTCTGTGGGTTCTTTCTATTCCTTGGTGATCCCAAGTTTGTACTCCTCCCAGAACTTGGCATCTTCTGTTCCCTCTACCCAAAATACTCTTCCTCAGACTTCCCACAGCTGGATCCTGACCATTCAGACCTCTGCTGCACTGTCACCTCCTCCGGGAGGCCCTCCTTGACCATGCCAGCTAAAGAGGCCCCTGTCTCTTCCCTCCCAAACCCACCCTTAGTAGCCATCATAGAATCTACATTTACTTTCTTCATAGTGTTTATCACTGTCTGAAGTGGCCTGTTCTATTCACTTGTGATGTGTGTAACCTCCTTCCACAGCCCCTGGAGGGCAGGGCTTCATCTGCCTCCCAGGGTGGTGTCTGGCACATGAGAGGAGTCCAATATGTATCTGGGCAGTGAATGAGTTACAGAGATTGGAACTCCTGCCAGAGTAGTCATGAGCATCCTTTAAACCAGTCATGTCTGGAGTGAGATAGACATACTCCATTGGCATGCGGAAAGAAAATACTAGAACTTCTATCCACAATTACTTTGTAAAGATTTTTTGGTAATGTAAGAGAGAAGTACATACCAGAGCATATGTAAACAAAAAAGCATATAAACATGCAAAGCATATGTAACATGTATTGATTTTTTTTTAATGAACATCTGTGTACCTACCCCCCTTTCAGAGGCAACTGCTACATGAAACTTTGTACTTATCATTCCCTTGCTTGCCCTTCGGTTTTACCACACAGAGATGATTCCTCAACAAGATTGGGTTCCATTTTGCATGACTTTAAGTTTCATCTCAATTGAACCCTGCCATAAATGCAAAAGCAACTTGCTTTGTTCACTCAATGTTATGTTTGTGACGTATGTTATCTTTTTTTTTTTTGTATATAAAAAGGAAATCAAGCCTCACTAATAAGGGAATATACACATTGCACAAGTACCAATGTGGGATTATAAACTGTAGCATGGGGTGGTGTGCAGTATCAAAGAAGATGGGAGACCCCTGCTGGGAAGGGGCATTGTGGGGGGATGGCCAGGGCCAGCCAACCTGGGGGTCCTGTTGGAGTGCCCCATACCTTGCTAGCCTAACACTCCATCTCTCTGTGTCCCCTACTCCAGTGGCTTCTCCTCGGTGGTAGCTCTGGGCGCGAGCATCATCTGTAACAAGATCCCAGGCCTGGCTCCCAGACAGCGGGCGATCTGCCAGAGCCGGCCCGACGCCATCATCGTCATAGGAGAAGGCTCACAAATGGGCCTGGACGAGTGTCAGTTTCAGTTCCGCAATGGCCGCTGGAACTGCTCCGCACTGGGGGAGCGCACCGTCTTCGGGAAGGAGCTCAAAGTGGGTATGTGCTCACCCAGACACCCCAAGCACGGTCTTCTAGGCTATGGGAGACCAGCATACCCTCGGGAGCCTTCTGGGACCCCCTCACCTGCCCCATGCTGGAATGCCCCTCCCAACCGTGGGATCCTGCCAGGGCCATGACTTAAGTTCAGGTCTCTGGGTGAGGGTCAGCCCTCTGATTTGAATCCAGAACCCTACTGTTCATGGCAGATTGCAACCAGCAATCAGTGGCCCAGGTGTCACTGATCAAGATAGCACTGATGCTGCCTTTTAAATTGAAACCCAACTTAAAAAATGAGCTGTTTCACCTAAAAATATGAATTTCTGGCTTTTGAAGAATTGGCAGATCTACTTACACATGTGCCCACATGGTTAGGATGGACTGGAGCTGAGAACACAGCTTCCTTCTTTTCCTGTGAAGACCATTCATTGCGATAGTCCCCACCACTCCCTCAACACTCAGTCCCCTTATTTAACTCACCAGCTACTGTGGGCATTTGAATTTGCAAACCCCTGTTTTATGGGAATTGTCTGTTGTTCAAACGTGCATGTGTGTGCACAGTGTCGGGCCACACATTTGGTTTCTACAGCAATCATGAGAAAAGCCTGGTGGAATGGGGGTTGGTCACCAGGAGGCCCTGATAGGTGAGGGGAAGGCCATTTGTGGTTCTGGCTTGTGTGTGTGTGTGGTCTGGAGAGCCAAGAACCCTGCAGGCTTCCTTCTGAGCTGTGAATGTCCCTAAAAGTCAGGTCAGCCTCTATCCTTCTGGGCTGGTGTGGTTCACATAGATTGCTGGACTGCTCTAAGGGCATGCCTGAGTTCTCTCACTCCCTTAGTCCCAAATCTAGCCTCTTCTCCATGTCCTCATTTCCTCCCCCTGTGTCACACAGCTGGTATATCTGAGCTCTCAGGCACCGCCATCACCCTGCTAGCCCAGACCATCCTGCAGACCCTCGTGGGGGAAGGGTTGTCCTTTGTAAATGGAAATCAGATCAAGTCATTTCCCTGCTTAAAACCCTATGGAGGAGGTACATATATACAACAGAGTATTACTCAGCCATAAAAAAGAATGAAATCTTGCCATTTGCAATAACATGGATGGGCTTAGAGGGTTTTATGACAAATGAAATCAGTCAGAGAAAGACAAATACTATATGATTTCACTTATATGTGGAATCTAAAAAACAAAACAAACAAAGCTGAAATAGACTCATAAACACAGGCAAAGGACTGTTGGTTACCACAGGGGAGGAGGGTGGGGGAAGGGGTGAAATAGGTGAAGGGGATAAAGAGGTACAAACTTCCAATTATAAAGTAAATTAGCCCACATGGAGTACAGCATGTGGAATGGGATGGAAGTACAGCATAGGGAATATAGCCAATAATATTGTAATAACTTTGTACAGTAACAGATGGTAACTACACTTATTGTGGGGAGCATTTAGTAATGTATATAATTGTTGAATCACTATGTTGTACATCTGAGACCAATATAATGTTGTATGTCAACTATATTTCAATAAAAATTGTAAATAAATAAAAATAATGAATAATTTTTAAAAAAGAAACTCTTATAAGGAAAGAGTAAAAGAATGAAAAAAACCCTATAGAGGTTTCTCCTCATATCAGAATGAAATCCCAGCTATTCATTAGGCCCCTGCTGCCCCCTGTCCCATCTGCTGCCATCTTGCCCCCCCCCTTGTGCACCTAGGCTCTCCATTTCCCAGAACACCATACTGGGTCCTGCTCCAGGGGCCTCAGCACCACGTGTTCCTTCTGCCTCAAATCCTCTACCACAGCCGGTACCCTGGAGCCCCCGTTCTCTGTGGGCATTGTGCCCCTCCAGCATCCAGGTCTCCTAAAGAGAGCACCGTGACGCTCCTTACTGTCAGCTAGGCATCTGGCACCACCCGAATCTATCCCTCACCTGTTGGGAACGCCTGCTCCATGAGGGTTAGGGATCCCCGGCCACCTTCACCACGGAATGTTTTCTTCTCCCTTCTTGAGAGGAGGACCGCGTCATCTCGGTCCTATAGCTGGTCTTACTTTGCCTCCACCTTCTGTAGGTGCCTTGGCATCCTGGGACCCCTGGTTCCAGGTGAAGCTGGTAGGGAGCATGGTGGCCTCTCGCACAGCCCCTCCCTACAAGCACGCTGCTTCCGGCATCTTTGTGTAGAATTCTACCTTGTACCACCTGCTTTTCTTCCTCTTCCCAACTTTAGAGCTCATGTTTCAGAAGGAGAACTGAGGCCCAGAGGGAGATGGGGCTGCCTCAGCTCATGCCAGGAGCTGGCATCAACCCTGGGACTCCAATTTAACTTGCTGAAACCCCCATCTTGTGAGCCTTCTCTGTTTTTTTTTCCTGCCTTCTCTGGCTTACATGCCTGGTCCCCGTTCCTGGGACCCAGGCCTGGGCTCTGGCATTATTTTAAACATGCTTCTTGCTGATATATGAGCTGTCACAGATGAGGAAACAGGCTCAGAAGCGGTTTGTCCAGGGTCAACAAAAGCGAGTGGCAGGTCTCCCAGGACTGGGTTGATCCCAGCACAGCCCATTGCCCAGCATTGTAATCGTGCATCAGAGGGCTATGGGGCAGCTGGTTAGAGGAGCTGTAGCAACGAGGGATCATTTGCAGGCTGAGGCAGAGGAATACCACCAGTGTACACTGCCAGTATACAACCAGGGAGGAGCAGAGGCCTGAGACATGGAACATTTTTCAAGGGGAGGACTTGGGTAGGTAGAGGCAGCCTCAGGGAATTCAAGCAAAGAGAAAAGCCCAAGAAAACCCACAGGATAGCGATGCTAGGGCAACAGGCCCGTTGGGCCTGGAAGGGAGTGAGAGCCAGAGGACATCAAGAAGCAAGTCTTAAATTTAGGCTTTCTGTGCTCTTCATCAGTGCTCGCCCCCCTATGAGGTTGCCTCTTTCTGGGAATGGCCAGCTAACAAAGTCTGCCTTATAGGTGAGGGATCAAGAGCATAGTCCTTGACTTTGGGAGCCCGGGACATCAAGTCCACAATCTGGACAGGACACATCACCTACCTTTCAAGAGACTTCCCAGAAGCTCCACCCCATACCTTCTGCTTATATCTCATTGGCCAGGACTTTGTCACATGACTTCACCTAGCTGCAAAGGAAGCTGGGAGATGTAGTCTTTTATTCAGAGCAGGTATGAAACCTGCTAAGGATCTGTGACTGAGGAAGAAGGGGAAAACTGACACTGGGGTGAGCAGCCAGCCCCTGACATAGGTTCTCCATCCCACACTGAGACCTGAAGGCTGACCTTTCACCATCTCCTCAACCTCCACTCTAGTCCTCAGCTCCGCCTGTGTTTCCTGGTTCTGTATCCTCTTCTGGTTGTTCTGGGTTTTGCTGCATAGATCTGAGAAGGCCATGTGCATGCCTCTTGGATGCTAGAGACTAAAACCCAATTCAGGTCACCTTGGGCAAAAAGGGAATTTGTGTTTGCCTAAGTAACTGGAGACTCAGAGATGGTGCTGACTGTCAGAATGGATCGGACCACAGGTGGGGTGGGCTTCTACCTACCCCAGAGCCACCTCTTGGGAAGCAAGATGGCCATCAGAGCTAACGCCACAACTTCCAGGCTCAAGTTCTGCAGGAAGAGCCTTAGCTTTTCTCTGGCAGCACCTGAAAGAGTCCTCAGGCTCACTCTGATTGGATCAGCTAACAGGGCCTGACTTCCGGTTGTGTGTCCCCCACAAACCAATCCCAGTGGCCAAGGGCAACAGTCTGTTGGCCAGGTCTGGAAGCCCCACTCAGGCTGTCTCTCGGGAGAGGGACTGCTCATGAGTCTGTTAGTAGCTCCAGCTGCCATAACTAAGTACCACAGGCTAGGTGGCTTAGATACAGATGTTTATTTCCTCACAGTTCTGGAGGCTGGACGTCCAAGATCAAGGTGCCAGCAGGTCTGGTTTCTTCTGAGGCCTCTCCTTGGCTTGCAGATGGCTGCCTTTTTACATGGTCTTTCCTCTGTGCACCTGCCCTTGAGTCTCTGTGTGTCCTAACCTTCTCTTCTTGTATGGACACCAGTCAGATTGGTTTATGGCCACCCTAATGGCCTCATTTTAACTTAATCACCTCTTTAAAGGTTATGCCTCCAATTATAGTCACATTTGGAGGTTCTGGGGGTTAGGGATGCAACATAGGAATTTTTCAGGGACACAAGTCAGCCCATAACAATGAGCAGGCAAAAAGCAGACTGGCCTGTGCTTTAGGGAAAGGCACATGGGTTGTGGTGGGTGCTCAGAGGACAGACCCCAAGGTGGGAAGAGTGGACTGGGCAGTGAAACTGGCTCTTGACCTGGGTCATGAAGGGTGGGAAGAATTTCAGGAGTGAGTGAATGGGACCCCAGGTAGAGGGAACAGCAGAGCAAAGATATGGAAGTTTGATTGCTAAGGGGGTGGTGAATCAGGGGTCTGTAACCTGAGTCAGGCTTCGGTGCCTTCATGTGAGATGACAGGCTGGCTACTCATGGCTCTTAAACGCCAGGGATTATTGGGGTGTGGTGTGTGGTCCCACATCAGCTCTATCAATTGCTATTCAGTGTGGCCCTTGGGGGTAAGAAGGCCCCTACCCTCTTTCCCCCGACTCCCGCCACTTCCAGGCTTTTCCTTTACTTAAGTAATACAATGAGCCCACCACCCAACCCAACATCCAGAACACAGACAGGTAATTTACACCCAGCCCTGTGGGCACCCCTCGTGTCTCCCAAGCCACACTTTCCCTATCCTGAATCAGCTTTCCCATTCCTTGTTTCTTTATGTCTAATTTGTCATATTGATATATTTCCTGGACTTAAATTACTTGGTTTTAGTTGTATTTAATTTTACAATGAAAAGACATTACATTATATGCAACCTTTTAGAATTTGCTTTTTTCACTTTCTAGTAATAAAACTTATCTCTATTGTTCCTTATAGCTGTGGTTAATCCACTTTAGCTCCAACCTAGGCATCCCTGCTTTTGCACATGGGGCATCT